GTAATAGTAGTAACTAATTATTACTTTATTAACTAACTTAATTAATTACTAACTACTAGTGTAGTAACTAACTAACTAATAACTAACTAATAACTATATATATATATATATATATATATATATATATATATATATATCACTATTATTATCATTACAAGCTTTCACTCTCATTCACACATTTACAATTGTGTGTGTATATGTTTCTCTGAGAAGTTACTGAGAATTAAAACTATTCTGCAAATGTTCGAAACATGACTAAAAGCTCAGGTGGCCAAATCTTCAATTATCCAGTATACTTAACAAAACACAAACACCATTTACAATTCATCTCTCCTTTTCATACTGATTATAACCTTTAAAAAGGGTTTTAGATCAACTCAGTATCATAGAACTAGTAATATAAGCTTGAGTCTTCCAAGAATTTTGTAAAATGCTTTTATGATCAGTATTTATATTAATATTTTCTTTGCTTTCCTTTTTGTAAACTGATAACTTTTGAAAGGATTTATATACATATGATGCATGAAATGTGGACTTCCTAAAATGTTGGATGATCATTTGACAATGTTAGCTGTATTATGTATGTGTTTCTTTTGGTGCAAAGATACATAATGAGCTATGTGCACTCTGTCCACCATAGGGAATCAAACTTCTCATTTGAGTTGTATGTCAGTGAGTTTTTCACTGATTTACCATGGAGATAACTATAATGATACTGACAGGAATTCTGCCAACATCTACTAACACTTTTGTTTCTTATAGGAAAAATGTCAATTCTTTGAACTTGATGTTTATGTTTGACCATTGATAACCTCTGGTAAATTTTAATCCTCAAGACTGTGTTCATTTAAGCATACACTATTATTACAAACTAGTGTATAGCCCATCAAAAATGATGGGGCAAATACTTCTACCCCACCCCATAGTATACCCTAACCTCACATTTCATAGCTAACTGAAATAACTAAATTTTGCAAAATCAAGCATGACCAATAAAAATGCAGAAAAGTGCATTCAAGGCAGTCAAACGTTGGTAAATTCCTTTATGAGCCAATCAAAATTAAGATCTTTTATGAAATGAATTTGTGGTGTATCTAACCTATATAAAAGCTAGTGTGTGTCATGTCACATTTGATTTTTCGAAATAGGAGTTGTAAAAGCCAAAATACATTTATCCATACAGAATAGTTTAATTATTGTTTACCCATTACAATTTTAGTGACAGGGATGCAAAGGGGGGTTGTGAAACGTTATAAGTGTAGTGGGTGTTGGGATCACCTAACCTAGAGCCAAGTGCATAAAATTTATCAAAGTAAAAATATTGATTCAATTTCAAGCTTAAATCGTTCCTGAATTAAGCTATTTTCTGTTATATCCCCAACATTTTTAATAAAAACAATTCTCTTTAATCAATGAGACTTTAAATTAAGAAAACAACAAATATTTTTCCCGTTTTGTAGTCCATACATTTCATTTTATACTTTTAGTACATAGACTAACAGCAATATTAGTTTATACTTTTGTTGCTAAGCGACATGACATAAAAGCCAATGTTGGAACATAGTGTTACCAAATTGCACTGGCTTTTCTATATCTTAGAAGTTTTCAATCTAACTGATTTTTACCAATAACTATAAGGTTTCACAGCAGCACCCCCCTCCAACACTCCGTCACTAAAATCATAATGGGTTGACTGTAATCGAACTATTCTATCTGCATAAATGCATTTAGGCTTTTATGACTTCTCCTATTTTGGAGAAATCAAGCATGACATGACACACACACTGGCTTTTATATAGGTTAGTGTCTATAGTGCAAAAATATATTGGGTAATTCTATAAAATCATCAATTAATTACATAAATATTGAGTATTTAAAATCATTACAGTTCAACTTACTGTATCATGTATACTTCATAGCTTATTACTATAACAAAAACTAATTGAAAGAAAGAAATATGGACATAACAGAAAAGGTCTAAATACTAAGGTAGAAAACAATGGTTTTTACCTATTGCAGTTTAATTCTAGAAAGATCAGGTTTTGGTACAATGGTAAGCATATTTGAATATTCCTTTTCCTTGATGACTGAGAGGAACAAGACTGTAAAGCATCCTTAAATAGTTTTAAGAGAGAATTGTAGGATGTTTGAAGGGGTGAGTGGTGATGCCATGGAATCAAGAATGGATCCTAAAAAAAAAATGATGAAATCCACTAATTGTTGGATCTTTCTTGTTGTAAGTTTTATAACATCACAGAAAAATACATTTATACTGAAATAAATATCCTACACACATGAAAAAGTTATATAGTACACAAAATAATTTGTCACAATGTACCCATAGACAATATTACTTATTGTATCATAATTGGCTTTCATCTGTACGGGTTGACAATAGAAAAATAATAAGGAAACTGTGAATAATGTAAAATAAGGAATGAATATAGAAGTTTTCCAGTAGTTAGAGTAATATGAAATGATTAATCCTTTTCATCCTGGTGGCATCAATTCAGCTACTTCTTCATTTGCATTTATAGAAATTAACTCATAAATGAAACTATCTAAAATACAAACACTTCAATCCTAAAGCATGATAAGCCATTTCATATTTTTAAGCCTGAAATGGATTTGTTAACCTAAAATCCATGTTTCAGAAGCACTTATTAACAAAATACAATAAAATGTCTTGCATACCATTAAATCCAATTTTAATTAGATATTATACATATCAATACATTATATTTATAAAAGTTACTTCTATAATCCTTTACAAAATTATGTACATGTGTTTCAAAAAGAACTCCACTGATTTCTCAAATTTGTGGCATTATTGGTCTGAAATTTTATGCAAGTTTTTATACAGTAAAAAGAAACTGTCAAACAAGCAGAAAAAACAAATAAAACTAATTTATTACCTTTACAATCATAAACAAAAACACAATATATTCAGATTATCTGATAGCATACAATCACAAAATCCTTGTGTGTAATAATTTACAAACCATATAAGGAAGAAAAGGAGTTTTATGGCACATAGATTGCAAGAAAGAAAATATACCTAGTTTTACGACAAAATATTAATGATTTTGTTAGATTTAGAAACTTAGAAGTTGTGGAAAAAAGAAGTAAACTAAATTTTAAAGTTTCTGATGCAACCAATTTCAAAAATTCATTGTTTCAAACTATCTGTGCAAGAAATAAGCACCATGTATGAAAACCACAGACTTGCAGTTTTGTTTTTCATGGTGGCTAATTTTTATCCACACAGATGGGAAATTCAAATATTTCTACTACTCAAATAAGAATCTCAAAATGTAGAAGATAATCTACATTAAAATTAGCTTTCTGTATTTTGTGTTACTTTATCACATGCAATATGTTAAAAATATAAATCTAGATAAAATTCTAAATGTGAACACTTCAATTTTTTTAGTTGAAAGATGCTTTAAAAAATGAGATTTAACTATAAAAAGTAAAGCACTTTAAATTCATATTTTAAAAAACCCTGGAGCAAAAAATGAAACATCTTCAGAAATTTTACAATGTAAAAGGTTAAAAAAAAGTTCTTAATGCTTGTTCATATTTCTTTGACCCCCAAAAATTAAACAATATTTGAAAGTACCTGATAATATCTGGTCTGTCAATTGATCTAAAATATTCCAGTTCTCATTAATGATGATCAAGTATGCTGACAAGACAATGGCCATTATATTTAAAGGAGGAGTCTTGAGCAAGAAATAAATTATATTTGATCATTGCTTATTCTATAAAATCTTACAAGAGAAAAACTATTGGTTTGTTAAAATGTGTTAGTATTTAAGAATGCATTCAAATTCAAATAAAAATAACAGCTGCTTTTATTACATACATTTAATATCAGTTTTGAAACAAAAATATATATTTGCACTGAATCATTCTATCACACGTACTTTCATGTAAATTATCTGTTTGTAAGTATGGCTATTATGATCACAAAGTGCTGCATTTAATGACAAAACCCATTGGTCTTATCAATTAGCTAAAACTACAAACAAACAGAATTTCATCTCACCTTACAACCCAATCTGCCCGGTGCATCTTGTTCAACAGGAAAAAGAAAAGATGGGAGGCTATGAAATTCAATAAGATGAATATAACACATCCAAGCTAAGCAAAGGTCTTCTGATACCATCAATTTTCTAAGTGGGCTATATACCTTTGTAACAGAAGTTCTAGAACATTGGCCAATATCATGCTCAGACATCACATTTTCCCCTGAAAGGTTTTCTTTAACTCCATACATTTTTTCAGTTACAGGTTCTTTTTCTATAAAAATTGAGCTATCGTTATTGAAAAGTTCACCACAGCTATTTGAAAAACTAGATTCATTTTCAGACCTATTTTCATCACTTATTCTCAATGAGGGCACTTGTTCTTCTAAATCATCTTCAAAATTAGACTTTTGGTCTTGCTTGTCAAGTCTCAGTGTTTTCTGCAAAAGAAGTCAAACTTTTTATTATTATAATGTCTTTCTTTACTTAGAAGCTTTTATGGCAGTCTCAAAAGCTTTAAAGGATAACAATTAGTTTTAACAAGATAATTTTTTACACGTAAATGAAAAGTAATGCCAAAAATAGCTCAGAAACTCGTATATATAGTTAAGAGAGATGCAGAGCATAGAGATAGCTGTAAGTTATTTTAAGTGGAAGACAAAAGAAAAAAAATGACCAGTATTAAATTTCCATCAGCTAGCTATCTTCAACAATTGCAAAATAAATTAGTAATGTTTCATGTAAAGTCAAGACAGTGAAGACAATGTTGAGGTTAAAACCAAACATTTTTTCAAATGTATTTTTTGTCTCAAGTGTTAAGTTCAAATAGTCAATGATCTCAGCACTAACATGACTGGATACTACAAATCTTAATCTCTTAATAAATTTTTCTATGACCTTATAACCTCATATGATGGATCAATACTAAATTATGCTATAAAATATATAATTTTTCTAAAAAATCTATACACTGGTTCCTAATATAAACTCTGAAAGCTTAATGATTTTAAATACCTATATTTTCACCTATCACTGTTCACTTTAAAATCAAATCAAATAAGAATAAATCCAGTTCTCAACAGTTAATAATGTTTAGTTGATGATTCTCAAGTTCACTAAAACAAACTATTTTAATAATTAGATACAAATAAAGATTAAAATACCTCCAGGAAATCTACAGCATTTCTGTAGTGTCCACTTTGCACATTTAATTGTGACTGAAATAATAACACTTCCAAAATTTGATGAGAACGAATACTTTTATCTGTATCAGTCCTTTCTTGCTGTTCCTCCAAAAGTAAAAACTGAAGAATCTCGTTGCAGATACCCTGTTTCTCATGGTATCCTTCAGCTAACTGAAGATACTATGTACATTGGGATAAAATATGTAAGAGCAAATATAACTATCAAACATACAATATGATTTGTTATAGACAAAATTATATCATCTTGAAATTCACAAATAACATAAAATGTGAAAATGGGAGTATTCCCCTGAATTAACAAAAACAAGGGTTGAATAAAATTACTATTTTACAGAACAAACCAATGAATAATAATGTAAATATATATATACTAGCAAAAGTACCCTGCTTTGCTTGAGTTATTAGGTTGATTTATTCTAGATGACTATGTCAGTGTGTGTATATTCTGAACCCATTTTAGGATAAAAGTATAACCTATATACTTTTGTTGCTCCTTTACGGGATGTGACCTGTTTATAAAGGTAACCTTCCCTCTCACTTGACCTCTGATTTTAAACCTCTTTAATTAACAGAGACTCTAAATTAGAAAACAACAAACAGTTTTTTGAATTTTGTAGTTTCAAGCACATTTCAGCACATACACTCTTAACAACAATATTAGATTATAAATTTATTGCTAAGCAACATGATATAAAAGCCATTGTTGGAATGCATTGTTACAAAATGCACTGGCTTTTCTATATATTAGAAGTGGTTATATAAGGAACCACTTCTTTTCTATGTGGTTTTGCATCATTAAAAAGATGCATGCGCACGTGCTTGTCCGTCCGTCTGTGCTTTATATCTCTAATTTGCAATATAAGGAACCACTTCTTTTCTACATGGTTTCTCACTAGCTTGCCTCGTTAAAAAGATGTGCACACATGTGGATAAGTAATAATACCTAGGTGCACACCCTCAGGGTCCACTTAGTATGGGTGCAAAATTTCAGGTTTCTGGGTTCTTTAGTCTTGGAGCTATAGCAGTCACATACACAGACATGCACACACATGCATGCCTGTCTGTAATTGCTATTTGTAATACAAGAAACCACTTCTTTTCAATGTGATTTTTTGTTAGCTTGCCTCATTACAAAAATGTGCAAGTGTGCACACACGTGGATAAGATAAATAACAATACCCTGGTGCACATACACAGGGTCCACAAAGTAAATGGGTGCAAAATTTCAGGTTTCTAGGTTCTTTCCTCTTGGAGCTATGGTGGTCACATTTCTTTTCTATGTGGTTTTTTGCATAAAAAGATGCACACTTGCATGTGCACACACATGTAGATATATATAATAATACTCAGGTGCACACCTTAAGGATTCACTTAGTATGGATGCAAAATTTCAGGTTCCTAGGTTCTTTCCTCTTGGAGTTACGGCACAGAGAATGTTACAATGAATAGATGTCAGATTCAAATATGAAACTACCTGTCACTCCTGGTAATGGCACAAGTATGCCCTCAAAAATTGGTAGATATCAACAGAATAACATGGGGAATATAAGGATTCAAGGGGTGACTTTTGTAAGTCAGATCCAATGGATGACCTACCCATATCACTTCCCTGGGGCCTTTAGTGTGTATGCCAATATTGGTTGAGATCAGTAAAAAAATTGAAGGTGTAAAAGGTAGTCACACAGTGGATCCCTAAGTGTGATATATTTTTTTTTTTTGGTGAGGAGGTCACACTGAAATGCAAGTTTGATTGATGCTGTTCAAAACTATAGGTATGAAAAATAGACAGACTGGAGGGTGGGCATCATATCCAAATGTTGACCCCTATCTGAAAATCCCTAGGAAACCCTAACAATTCCACCAAGTTTGGTTGAGGTCAATCAAAAAAGTAAAGGCACAAAATTTAGTCCCTCCTTTATGGGGGGTGGGTGGGGTGGGGGTGGCATGGAACCAAGTCCAAATGCTGACATTCCAATTACACTATGATGGACCCTAAGAGTACACATGCCTAGTTTGACTGAAGTTAGTAAAGAAAAGTGGACAGACAAATGACACTTCTTACTTGTATAATGGGATGAAAAGACCAACTTCAGGTAGCTGGACTGATCTCAGTTTATCTGGACTTAACCCTTTAACTGATTAACTAATAATGATTTTGCATTTGTTATAGTTTTCACACAATAACTTTTAATACAGTAAGCGTATCTTCACAAAATCTGGCAGATTATCATTAAACATAACAAGGCTTTCATACACAAAATCTCACATTTTTAACTTAAGTTTTAAAATTTTCAACTGTATCTGACTAACGCTACAGCAGTTGCAACCACAGTGTATATGCATCACATGTTACTTTATCCAATAGCATAATACTGGCATTTACAAAGTGATTTGTCTTGGCTTTTTTCTAGTGGACCAGTATTGTGTAAAATATAGTTGCATTTCAGTTATAATACATTACATACGTATATATATATTGTTACGATATACAAATAAATTCAGTTTTTTTTTTTTAAATATAACAGTAAATTAAGAAATATAAGAAAAAAAACAATCTATACTAAGTATGATTGTAAAGAACTTTGTACTCGCTTGCCATACTTTGTATCTTAAGCCTTGCTGAATCCGCACATGGAGGATGTAAAACAAAATAACTTTTTTAGGTTTTATATGTGCATTACTCTACCAATATCACAGAATTCCACTGTAATTTATCAGACTTACTAACTAAGCTTTATTTCAGTCTAAAAAATATTGCCCTCCAAACATTTTCTCTTATCCTTTTCTTCCGAGACAGGGAACAAAAAAGATTATTCTTGGGAAATAGAGACTAAGCTTCTGATTGGTTATAAATACATGATTGAGCTAAACAGGTATACGTAAGCATTTCAAAAAATGGAAGAGGTGGGCAGAGGCACTATGTTTGATTCACTAAATATAGTAATATCTCAGTAATTTGAGTTTCTAAGAAATTATAGACTTTATTTGGACATGACAAATGTCTAACTTGAACCAAAGCCACATTCAACATACCACGTGACACACAAAAATAAATATTTAGGATTTTTTTTAAACACTTACTTTTAAATTAAGAAATTAACTTGTGTATATTAAATAAAATTTGAATGATAATGTACTATTTGATACCAAACTTATTTACGTATTTTTCATGAAATAGTAGTTCAATAAAATTTTGAATGCAAGTCTACAAACGTTATGACATGCCCTTTGACCCTAGGAAAACCCATAGCGTAAAACCTGTAAAATGAGGAGGTTAGGTGTGTAATCATTACATAACTATTAAGGTCAGGGTTTATAGTTCTAATTACAATCATTTTATAATTGTAAAGGGTGGAGGTTAGGAGTCATACAAATGTAGAAATATAGGTATATTTTTACCATAACGTTATTTTATCATCTGTAATCTATGCCTTCCCACAACTCACTACAGACAGCAAAAGGTAGCAGGAGTTGAGACACGATGAATCAAACCATTAAACTCCTAAACCCTAATCTGATCTTCTGTAATGGCTTCCTAGTTTGACACTTGCATTTGGATCATTATTGTTAGAAGAAATATCCCAAATGCCTTTGGGTGCTATGACCACAGACATTTTCCATTATCAGTTAAAGGATAATGACAATAACTGGCAATGAGCTGTTTTCTTTTCTTTTTTGTATATTTCATAATACATATTTCGGTTTTGGTTTTGTGTGTGTGTATATACCCACAATATAGTAACTTCTGCCACACATTGTGTATGTGTGCCCAAACACACATACATATAAATATCAAAACAGCTTTTACCCCTAAAGAAAACAGTACTATTCACTTGGTTTGAAATTAAAGTAATTTCAAGTCAGAGGCTATCATCACTTTCTGCTCTTTAGAAGCAATACCCAAAATCTGTAACTGAAAACAGGAAACCAATATGAGAAGCAACTAAACTGCTGTAGAACAACTGAATAATTAAAATGTACCTTCCACCAAACTTCATAATGAGGACAAAAATTTAATGCTTGCTGACACAGCTGTAAAATATCTTTACTCTCATCACGTTCAGCATACAGAGTCAGATAATGCTTCCACAATTCAGGGTCAGCTTGGTTACTTTCTAGACCACGTGAGAGAATATTCAGAGCTTGGTCAAGGTTACTGATATCTTTTCTGAAAAAAAAAGAAGAAATTAAAATAATTTCTCATCATATAATCAATTATTGGTACATACTAATTCTTTTTATAAAAGTACTGCTTGAAAGTAATACACTTTTTCACTATGTAAATTAAACTCCACTTAAGATATATATATATATATCACTCTTAAAATTTAAGGATCAACATGATTTAAAATATATTTCCTTACATATACTACAAAAGCTTATTTTAAAGCTTTGAAAGTACATAAAGAACAATACATCACGTAATGTATATCTATATATACAGCTTAAATTAAACTCCCAAACTTAACTTTTAACCTATTGCCACAGATAACTTTTAACCTATCGCCACAGATATCCTTTACCTCGCATGACAGTTTTAGTGTCTTACATTCAGAATTTTATTAAACTACTTTTTGTTTATGTTATACTAATTAGTATGGCATAAAATCTTAGCTAATAATCCATATTCTAATAGTATACAAGTTCTTAATTCTATAAGGCAATATTTTAACAAATCCTGAATTTTCACTAGTGTGACACATTTTGGCTTTCTATTGGTTACAGATAATATAGAATTAAGCATAAGAGAGAGATATTAACAAATCCTGAAAGAGAGGATGTGACTAGAGGGGTCTGATTTTCTATTTGATGGCTCTGTAACCAAAAAAAATTGAAAGCTATAAAAATTATGTTTTGTCTGAGCAATGATGATTTTATAGTGACTAATTTAGATTAGATTTCATACTTATTGGAAAGGTGGTGAATAAAATAGAGAAAAGGAGATGCCTGGAAAAATGTGTAACACTATGGGAAATTCAGGATGTTTTTTAGATACTGCCTTATAAAATTAAGAACTTAAAACTTATATATTATTAAAATATGGATTATTAGCAAAGATTTTATGCTATACTAATTGGTATAACCAACAAAAAGTAGTTTAATTAAAATTTGAATGTAAGTCACTAAAATCTTGTGACAAGTGCAGTAAATGATACCCAGGCAGATAGTTTTAAAACGTTATACAGCTTGGGCTTCACCTGTGAAATCTAGCAATGGAATACAAGTGCAAGTTTTGAAACATTAATCTGTGTATTTGTACAAAAACATCATCCACATAAAGCCTGAAAAAACAGTACTTCCTCTAGTTTATAAAATAGATATTAGAAGGCCGGATTTACTATTTAAAAAAATAATCCATAAATAGTAAAAAACCACTCATTTCATAAACAATATTTACATATAATAAAATAGCCAATAAAAACACAAAAGGAACTCTATGTTTCTCTAATTCAACAATAAAGGTTTTAAATGTCTTTTTTTAATCCAATGTGTACCTTGTATGATTGTGAAAATGGTGATATGCTAGTTTCAACCACAGCTGAATGTTATGAGGACTTTCATGAACTGCAGCCTCAAGTCCTGCCAAACCTTTACAATCTGATTTAAAATAGCGAGAATCAGATTCCAAAATTACAGCATCTGGATCATAATCGGTTTTAGTTAGCTGTAGTTTTTCTGAAATACATAAAGGTTTTATATTAAAATAACACAAGGAGGTTTTCAATAAAATTAATGTAACAAAAAATACACTTCAAAACACAGAAAAAATTTAAAAGCTGAAGAACAGAATTAAAATCACAAGATGAATATAAACATACTCATACTAATAATGATAGCTAATGTAAACATATTCTTTACATTCATTTCTAACTTTTCTTTATATCACTGATAATCTTTCTCGATGAAATGAAAAACAAAACAGATTTATTGTTTAAGTTTTTTTTAATTGACTAGAAAAAATGATAAATACTATTAATAAGTTGGCTCATTATAAATAAGCTAGAATTCAAAGTCTTCCTAGAATTTATTGTGATATGGTTAAACATCAATAATAAGTTGTTTAAACATTTAGCTTTAAAAAAAACAGAAATATTGTAACACTGAATTCTTTCTACACACTAGTTTTTTTAATTGAAGTTATGAATCATACTTGCTATAAAATCTCACCTTCTGTTGTTCTTATATTAAGCTTCAATGTTCCATCCGATTCACTACAATTCTTATTTAAATGCTTCGGAGGAAACTTTCTTTTCTGAAGAATAACATAGCTCGTTGGCCCTAATTCAATTGAAAATTTTCAGTTACTGTAAACAACATATTACATCATGTCTGACATTCATATTAACAATTTTATATTTTATTACAAAAACTCAACCTTATACCCTATAAATCTTAAGTTGAAGTGATACACAATACAGTAAGGGCATTAATGCAGGAGAGTAAGATACTGCATGTTTGTCAAATTATTTTCAAAATTGTGAAGATTCATGCATTAAAACATTAGCATCTTGAGAAATACGAATGATGTAAATGTTTTTGAAATTCACATACTTAAGATTTTCCTATGAAATATCGAAACACCTATTAGTGACATAATAGATTTGTTTCTGTTCATCTCTGATAGTAACACATGACCATGTACAGTATTCAAGTACAAGTACATTCAGACTACAAATATATCCAATCAAATACTTTGATGTATGATACTAGCACCATCTGGTTTTAAATGTAATTAACTTAATACAAATATAATGGTGCTCCTGATGTTTTATTAATGTTAGGTTTTAATTTTTTTATTCTCAGAGCTTCTGGAATTTTTCTTTTCTTTGGGCTTTTCTCTGTATTCTTTTAATTATTTGTGTTATGTAGCTTTTTCAGTATGTCTACAATCATGATAATTTTTCATTGAATCACACAAACCCTGGGTAGCTCTAAAAAGCTACTATTTAGTATTACAAACAACGTTGGGAAACTAAGGCTTGCACTGCTATCACATTAAAGTTGAATTGTAAATTATTTTCTCCATAATAATGATTTGTAAATTTCAATCAACCATGACAACAGTACAAAAAAAAACAAATGTTAAATTTGTGCAGTACAAACTGTATTTACAGCTATCTTTTTCAACTTGAGAAAATGCATCAAAAACTATGTAAAAATAAAAAACAATATTGCTCTGAACAATAATAAATACAAGGTACAGCCACCGAATATTTTTTTATATTTAATACACTTATTTTGAGAAATTGTGAACAAAGACCAGGCACTAAATTCTAACTATTTTTATTTGTTACCTTGCATATGAGATCAAGGCAAATATTTATTAACTCCTTTTGTGTCAGGTTTATATGGAAAGTAAACCCAAAAAAGGCATAACAAGCAAATAAATTTGGGCAAATAATAAAGAAATAGAAGGAGAAATAGTCTGCCCAAATTAATTTGGCCAAATATTTCTTGAAACATGGAGAATACCAGAGTTACCTCAGGTAAATCACAAAAGGGGTTAATATATAACACGAACAGAAGCATTTTTTAACTGTGCATACTATAATGACCCAACCGTAACAACTTAGACTTCAATATATTCCAATCTACTTACCATTTTGTAGTTCTACATTAATTCTTTTCACAAGTTTTTCACACTTCTCCTCTAATGACAGATCTGAACAAGATTCACAGAATACTTCAACATACTTTTCTGAAAAATAAAGTTATATACTGAAATGAACCTTTGAAGCTTCTTTTCAACAAAGAGACTTCAATATCACAATAATATCAATTTCACTTAATATTCAGAGTTAAAAACTTCTCTTTGTATTCTTTCTTTTTATACTTCATTACTTATATACTGAAACTAGATGGAAGAACATAAAAAAAATGACCAACTACTGAAACTTTTAGAAGAAGAAATTTAACTTATAATTCACAGTAACCAAATACAAACCTCTTCTATATCATAACTAAGACAACACATTTCACTCTAGAATTACAGAGGGTTGAGAACATTACATTAAAAATGTCAATCAAAAAGTCAAATGACTACTACAACCAATATAAAGTCACTGTGGAATGGCATATATCGAAGCTACATCTTGAGATTATTTGGTGATTAGAAAGTAGTATGATGCCACTGAAAACTGACTAGCTTGAGAAAGGTATGTAACAAAAAGCATTTAGATTTTCAAAGATAGGGTAAAAGGGTATTTAATGGCATTGGAAAATAATGAAAAGAATATGATCAACTTGAGGCACCAGGATTATCCAGAAAGATGTATAGTCAGACATATCACAGCCATGGTAAACAAACTGAGAAGCTTTGTAACATGGTGAATACATGAACACAAAGGCCAGTGGCAAAAGTATTCCAACAATATACAACATAATCAAGAATGATCTCCATCTAGAAGGAAACGCAAGTACAAGTTGTTTACACGAGATATTGAGAAATGAATGACCAACTGTAAAAAACTGTATGAACAGTACCTAGAGAATGGAAATATAGCAGTATGTGGTGATTCTTGACATATTATATGCATACCTCGATAACTGTAAAAAGTCTGGTGTCAGTGTCTTCAGGTCAATAGTGAAAGAATTTACACAAATGGTAAACATGATCAGAGACTTTTTCAAAGGAATTTATGACAGTTGCTGGATAATGTGCGAGGTACAAGTAGAGATCAGTAGTATTGATACAAAGGTCAAGATGAATTCTGCTCGCAATAAGGCTAATATTCTAGACCCTTTTTACCACACAGAAATACTAGCTTTGTATGGAAACAAGAACAACAGGGTATGGATCCACCAATATAAAGTTTCCCACCATGCCTACCATCCAACAAAAGGATGGAAAATGAAACGGGTATTTATGTTATTTCATACAAAGATATTCTGACCAAGTTACCAAATGTAGCACTTATGTATTTCTGTGTGATTAGACTGTTGCAATGGAGCTAGAAAACCATCATTCTAATATATTAGATAGCTTCTGGAAAGTATGCATGAAGGAAGGGTGTGCTTTGGACACAACAGTCTTAAAATGGAGCCTTTTGAAATGAAAACTATGCTCCAGGACTAGTTACAAGATGCATAGTCATCAGGCAGAGCATAACTTGACATGGCAACATGGAGTTTTTGAATATGATGTACTCAACAATAATATTCAATAAATAATGATCCAAGTCACCTGAATATTTTGTCTTTACCTGCTTTAACTGTCTTTAACTGAGCTTTATACCCGTTTTCTTTTTACAGATACTTCTACGACTTTTAAAAAGAGACATAATTTAAAATAAAAACATTTTCAGAAATAAAAAAACACAAAGACACTAAAAGATTCCAAACTGACATTCGAGGTTTGTTTCTAAGTCTTCTAAACTTTCCATAACATTTTGTTCACCCATACAGAAGCTTCAAGTGGTCAAAATTTCCAGAAACTACAGATTACTGCTAAAACTGCTATATTTACTTGACAGTGACATTAATTTATAATCTAAACAATCAAATCATATGTTTGTTACAGTTCTTTTTGAAGCTGAGATTCATTGGTAATTGTTCAAACCAAATGCTGCAACATGATAACAGGGGTGGCAAAAAAAGAGCTGTAATAATAAAACTACCAAAAGAGAAGCAAAATCACATGAAAAACAAGACAAATATTTATATTCTCAAGAAATGAAAGTATCTTGGCAAATATAAACCTATATTGGGCAATGAGCAGAAAAAGCCTAAAAAGAAATTGATAAAGTCATTGTTTATAAGCAAAACTTCTTTGAAACACTTTTTTGGTATGAACTTATACTAAATAAATGTTCAAAATGACAAAACATCAATTTTAAAATAACTTAAAGAGTTAAAAATTGTTGAAATAGATATGGAATTATTTTTAGTTAAATTTTTTAATTTGACATGTAGGTGTGCACTTAATACCTGAATGGTACTCACCAATCGAGATATAGTTAAAGGAAATGATTCCAGATCAAGAAGTTAGATTTATCATCATCACTTCTGTCATCATCAAGTTTGTAACATTTAAGAGATATTCCATTTGAATAAAATGTTTCAATGAGATTATAGAAATTAGACATTCTTGATAAAATATTCACAATACTGTTAAAACAATTTGAAGTTGCATCTACATGAATAAACACACTTCTCAAGTTTTAAGTGCACATACTTAATTTACTTAGACCATCTTCTGTGCTGTCATTTTCAGAAACTCCACACAAGCTAGGACAATAACACAGCAAGTCCAAGAGAACATCTTGAGGTAAAACTTTGTAATTTGCTTCATGCTGTCTGTGAAGATGAAGAAAAACAAAAAGACAGAATTATGAATCACTATTAATTTCTGAAAATAAACTGTCAATTTCTATTTTATAATTTGGTTTGAAAGTTATGTGGGTTCACTTCCAAATTATATGCACAAATTCTAAACCAGTTCCTCTATTTCCTGCATATTTATCATTATCAAACTTAGTCACTATCTATATCTCTCTGGAAAAACTAAAATAAAGAACACAACAGAATTACGATTTTTCACAAAATCATACATAAAAGGTGCACCATTAGTGTCTTTTCGATCAAGGTGACATCATTATGACATGCCTAACTCCAATATTTTTAAAAGTAACTTATTATAATCTGCAGCTGGGCTCAAATAATAATTAGAGTAGAAGATTTATAGAAATATAATTAAATCATTGTTTTTGGTGATTATTTTTAAGTGAAATTCATAATTTTTGGCAGAAAATTTTTTTTCTTGCTTAAAATGACATATTCAATATCTCCATAGTACATTAAAAGTACATGTTACATTAAAAGTACTTACAGTACATTTAACTCCATTGTATTAATATAGCAATAACACACACTACATCTGTCAAGAAATGTCAATACAGATAATATTACAAAGAAATAATTAAATGAGCACTAGAATAAAAAACACCAAACAGATTTAATTAATAATTTGTTTTCGGGATAATTTTCATGATCATTACTTCAACATACAGAATTTTTTTATTTTACTTTATAACATTTTTAGATTTACACTAAATATCATTAAAACATTTTTATTGACTTGCTCTCTGTGAAGTAATCATGTTGAAAATACAAAACACTTCTCATCATATTAGTAATTTTTAATTTCACTACTTTTTTTAGACAATCTTTTCACACACCTTGTACACTGATCATCATTACAAGTTCCTAGAAGATCAAAACGACACAAGTGGGTCAGTGGATTTATGTGATTTGAGTATGTTGAGCTACTACATTCCTGGAACATGTGTTTGGAGAAATGAGGGTTAAGCCTGAGGAAATAAAATCATTAATTTCTTTTTTATATTTCCTGATTCAAATGGCTGAATAAATATTTGACAATTATAATTGCAAAATGCAGAAGTTAATCTTATTTTATTATAGAATAATTGAATATCAAGTTGAAAGATGTTTTACATTTTTCTATGTTTATTTGGTCTTATAAAAGTAAAAACATGAACCAACTTACATCTTGTAGAGAAGTGGAATTGTCAAGTTTAATTCTTTGGCTACAAATGACATTAGCTTTAGAAACACATAATTAGAAAGTTCATTTATTATATCCGAAGATGACACCACTACAACATCAATACAAAGAAACACTACAAAGTTAGTTGTGTACCCATTTTCATTAAACTTCAAACCGTGCAGAACTTTAAAATGCAAAGCTATCTTTAACAGAGGATTCACTGGTCTTAATACTAAAACAAGCCCAATAATTTAAAATTGTAAGTGAGAATATTCAAAACTATTAGCCTTACAAAAGCATCCTGTAAAATCAACCAGTCCAATGTCTTTGTCAATACTCATTCATACCTTTATCTTTCTTTACGTATAACAAACACCTATGTAATTTTGTTTCCTGTATAAGTATTGGATCTTTATTTAATTTAAAAAATTTTCTGCTATCATCTAATACACACAATTAATCTTACTAACTTAACTACTTTTAATGAAATTACTACTTTGTTTCCTTTATCTGGTTTTCCAAGTTCAATAAGTGTTTTCATGATCCTCTTGGGATACACTATAAGGTTTATTTCTTACATTATAAACAGAAGATGATGCAAGACTATTATTATAATTCCTCAATATGTCAAATATAAGTTTTTTTACTATATAAAAATTTTTATCAATGCAGGATGATACACAATATTTTAGGAACATGTCTAAAAAATACTTCATAAAAAAGAAACTATGAGCTATTTTTTTCTAGATCATTTATTTCCTGTACTAATGTCATCAGGTTTGTTTATAAGCAAGTTCTTAGGCAGGTATAAAATGAAGGCTATTTAATTTACAGAGCTGATTGACTCTAAATTGTGTTAAAACATCATTTACCCTTTCGCAGTGGGTTCATGCAATATGTGGAAATCAAATTGTGAATTTTACTTATACGACAATATATATGCCGTAACTGAAATTTCTTAACATATCCTTCCAAAAACTGGTAAGATTTTATTAAAGATCATAAGTATCTTGTACACAAATAATGACAGTATTATCATTAAGTGTTTTTACAAAAATATGTTATTTTTCTATTGTAGTTACTCGCATTCAAACTATAACAAATCAAGTGCAGTGATTTTCATTTTAGTATAAAAAAATACTTTTCTTCATCTTATAGTTTCATATTTCATTTGCATAATCTCTAGAACCTCCTAAAAGGATATCAAAAGTTTTTTTAAGGTAAATTTTTATATTTTATTTTTCATTTTCTCTACCATATCACTAACTAGTTATTATCAACAACATACAATGCAATGAAATAATTAAAAGTTAGGAAATAGAAAAAAACCAAAGAAACATACCTTTTAATTTTTTGTAGAATATCTTTAAAGCGCTTCATTTTGTTAACTTCATAATTTTATCTCTTTTACTTTTCCCATAGTTAATTTTTATGTTATATATTTCTCTTTTTTGTCTTTTACAACTCATTATTCATCTTGACACAAGTCAATGGTGCCTTCAAGGCTTATTACTATTTCTTTGGGAAATATGCACAGCCCTTCAGCTAAATCTTCATTCAGCATATAATATTATAAGCCTTGAGAATGGATGCAAAGTATGATGTATATTTTAAAAATGTCTAAACCTTTTAATCATACATTTTAAAGCACAACTAATACATAATTAACTAAAATATAATAGTAAGTCCAAAATAAAATTTAAGCTGTATCTCTAACTGTAACATATTTAAGTAAGAAACAACAATAAGTGCTATAGTCGATCAAGCAGTCAACAATACTATAGTCAATTTCAAGTACTCTATGAAGAATACTTGGCATCAATTTCAAAATGACCATTGTTAACTTATAGTGTAAAATGAGCTCTTTCTAACTGTTATATACACATGTGTATGTAACATCTACATGGAAGGGATAAAGCTCAAACAAATCTGTTGAAAATGGGTGTGGCAGCTGTCAGGGGTTGAAAAAGTTTATTACTTATTTTAACTATTCATTCAGTGTACTGTGAAAGGAACAAGTTGAAAGGTTATGTAAGCAACTTATTGTCTAGGTGTTTCTCTACTCAACTGCCATTGTGTTATTGAAGATACAGACAGCCAAAGTATAAATTTTTATAGCTCATTGGTCACACAACAATACATCTGAAGTTTTCAGTAGTTTAAAGGTTATTTTGTAACAAAAAACTTAAAACTTGTATGAAATAAAACTTTGAATATAACAGTGACTTCTGCAGAAAAGCAATTAGAGGGGCTCCCATTGAGATAGGATTAAAGAAATAAAGGTTTAGTTTAGAAAAATGTCTCAAAATTATTGAAGGCTTTTAACTAGAAGTCCAAAGACTTAGATAACCTGTATTGAAGGCCAAACTTTTCCAAAACTTGGATGTTGCTCCTCCATATGATACTGATTTATGAATCTTTGGAGCTCAAAAATCATAGAATGACCAAAAAGAGCTTACACTTTTTCAAAAACTCTTGAGTATATAAATAAATTTTGTCTTTACTTGGTGGTTGTAGACTTAATGAGAAATTTATTTCTTGATAACCCAAGATAGAGCAAAGAATTACAGATTCCAAAATACCACTACAAACATGTTCTATAAAGCAAAATTAAATAAACACCTCTAAATTTTAACCTATACAACTTTGAAATTTTCCTGGCCCACAATTTCAATTTAGACATATTAAATTAAAACAGAAGTGTATTATTTCTATCCCTATATTATTTTCCCAATATCTTAAACACTATATGTTAGATACCCCCATGGTAAAATGAAAATAGCATCTTCTCTTCCTTTCTTAACACTTTTGCAACAGGTGCCCCTTTAAACACTTTTCTGAACAAGCCACTGTGTGTCATTCAAAATTTAATTAAACACCTTTACAAACAATGTGAGTGAATGAAATTAACATTATAATGTAAGTTATGATTCAAAGTTTTAAAAAAAACTACTTAAAACTTCAGATGTAGTGTCACATGACCCACGAGCTATGAAAAAATCTCTACTTTGGTATTTCATCTTCAATAATATAATGCCAGTTATGTAGATGTATGTCTAGACAATAAGACATTTACTTAATCTATTAACAAATACATTTCAAAGTTCTCTGGATGAATGCAGTTGAAACAAGTAATAAATTTTGTCATAACCTGACTGGTGCCATACCCATCTTCAATACATTTCTTTGAGCTTCGTAGCCTACATATAAAGGTTACAAACAGATGTGTATAGTCATTAGAAATAGCTCATTTTACACTATAACCCAACAATGGTTATTTTGAAACTGGTACACAGTTTTCATCAGAGGTACATGTAACTGCCTGTAGTGTTGATGGCTGCTTGGTCGACTATAGCACTTATCGTTGTTTCTTACCTAAATATGTTATAGTTAAAATACAGTTAAAATATATTTAGGTCTTATTTTCATATTTTAGTTAATTATGTATTATTTATGTTTTAAAATGCATAACTGAATGACCCAAACATTTTTTAAATATACATTATACTTTGCATTAGTTCTCAAGGCTTACAGTATTAGGTGGTGCACGAATATCTTGCTGAATGGTTGCACATCTCTGTCAGAGATACTATGATATTCCCAGATGGCACCATTGACTTGTATTGAGATGAATAATAAATGGTAAAGGATAAGGAAAATAAAACAAAAAATTAACTATGTGAAAAGAAAAAAAGACCTAAAATTACAAATATAACCAAAAGAAGATCTTTAAAGATATTCTACAAAAATTAAAAGATATGTACTTTTTTTCTATTTCCTAATTTTAATCATTTCATTGTATTGTACACTGATGATAATAGCTAGAGTTAGCGATATGGTAAAGAAAATGTGAAACAATATATAAACATTTATCTTCAATATTCATTTAGGAGGTTCTAGAGGTTATGCAAATGAAATATGAAAACTATACGATGAAGAAAGGTACTTCAAATGAAAATCACTTGCATTCAAACTATTCAGAGTTTGAGTGCAAATAATTACTATAGATAAACAAATTTTTATTAGAAAGACGTAATTAAAGTAATGTCATTTTTGTGTACGAAGTAGTTATCTTTAACAAAATAATACCAGGTTTAGTGAGGATATCTCAGTTACTGTATGTATTGTTGCTTAACCGTATCCGCCCAGGTATCATTTACTGTGTATGTCACGAGGTTTTAGTGATTTACATTCAAAATTATATTAAAGTACTTTTTATTTATGTTATAACAATTAGTATAGCATAAAATATTAGCTAATAATCCATATTTTAATAGTATACAAGTTTCAAGTTCTTAATTTTATAAGGTAATATTTAAGAAAATCCGGAATTTCCCCTAGTGTGACATTTTCTCTAGGCATCTCCTCTTCTCTATTTTATTCATCACCCCCCCCCCCAATAAGTATGAAATTAAACATAAATTACTTACTATAAAATCGTCGTTGATCAGATGATAATTTTTATAGTCTTCAATTTTGTTTGGTTATAGAGCATTCAAATAGAAAATCAGGCCCCTCTTGTCAGACCAACATTCTCTCTTATGTTTAATTCTATATTATCTATAACCAATAGAAAACTAAGGTTTTCATCTGTGAAATGATTTATTATATTGCATTGTTTTCTGAATGGAGAATTATCAATTTCTCTGTTAGTACAAGCACTGTTCCCAAGGAAAAGATAACGACTAGCTTGGATGAATTTGTAACGGCTCTTGTTGTATAGTTAGAAAGCCAGAAAAATTGTGATTGTTGGAGGAAATTGTCTGCTTTTAGCATGATATTATTCTATGTTCTTGGTGCATTATTTAATTAGATAAAAATTATTTATTGCACTACTACCATTAGTACAAAAAAGTAGGGTTAAGTGTCATCGATAGTTGACAGCAAAAAAAAAGAAACCACCAGAATTCTCGGGTAAGTACTTTATTTCTTGTATATTATTT